ACAGTTTACTGCGTCGCTGGGATTGAGGGAGGAGCACTCCTGGTTGCCTGTTCTTGGGTAACGGCATAGAAAAAAAAGCTGAGTCGGTAGTTATTTTCAATCATAAATGTGTAAAAGAAAGCATTCTGCCAACAGATTCCAATATATATATATATATATATATATATATATATATATATATATATATATATATACATATTTGTAGGCAGGAAGTCGTATTCTACGCAAGCGTTGTTAAGGAACTTGCGATGGTGAAGTCTCAGTGACCGCATCTTGCACTACGAATGAGTAATTTTCAGAAAAGTTGCCCTGAACAACCCCGTCGCTCTCGTTGGCATTAGTCTTTGCGTGGGCGAAGTCAACTAAAAAGTGGCGTTTGGCCTATTTTTCAATTTACTGGCTGGAGATCTCACGGTCTCTCCCCTTGTTCCGATCATTTCTACCAGCGCACAGCGATACGTGCTCATCCACTGTTGTTAACGAATCTCACCATCCATGTTACCCTCATCGTTGTTCCCTGAATTGTCCGAGAGGATGTAACTTCAAAAGTCCATTACTCCCTCTTCACCAGGGCAGTCCTCACAAACCGTCATCATGCAGCCGTGGTTTTCCGTGTCACATACAGCGTGCTAAAGGAGATCACGGTATTTCAGATCAGGAGGGCTGAGAGCGGATTTGAGCAATTTTGGATTTGATCACGTGTGTACACGCATACCAAATGCGTACCATTACTGCCTGTCAAGACGCAATGCTTCGGATTAAGTGCAGCAAATGTCGAGAAACCGATAACAGTTTTTTTTTAGTCCCGCTTGCAAATGTCATACGCTTCACGCAAGTTCCCTCCCCCCCCCCCAGACAAGTCTTTCGGCACTCTACTCTTGGTTTCATGGAGCTGTCGGACCGTGACACAGTCATCCTTGCCCTAACACATCCAGCTGACCTGGTTCGACTTGTAGACAGGTTGAGCTTTTCCTTATTCGCGTGAGGAATGTTCAAGCCTTTCCGCTTTAGGGACATCTGACAACAGACCATGTGACTTTCTAGTTGGCGACCCTGCCCGACCAAGCACATAACCGTTTTGAAAAATTTGTCTGTCCGGTCCAGCGACAAAGGCCAAAGAGCAAGGATGAAGAGCTGTCTTCTGCAGCCAGTGCTGTTATTAAAGTCGGCCTTCAGCTCCTCCAGCATCTGATCGCATCTGAAATGCAACAAAGATACAATCATCAGTCTGTAGCTCAGGTGATAATCCCCAGTGGCTAGAAAAATCGACATTGATTTACAGAGATTGAAATTAAATTGGGGAAAAATGGACAACTTATGGAAGCGTTTAGAAACATTAGCTCACCAATCGCTACCTTCAGCCATTCTTTGTCTCATAGCTAGCTTGCCTCCGGGCATTGCAATCTGTACGTTTAACGAGGGTTCCAATTTGCGGTTAAGCGATCCTGGTGCCATTTTGAACTTTTCGGCTCCCTTGAACCGCCTCTGTGCTTCGATAGGGTCTTGTGGGGCATAAATAGATAACTGAGCGCAGGTACAGGCCCATGACAATGTACGCACCATGGAAAAATGGGCGTTTCAGAACAGTACTACACATGGTGGTGTGTAGTATTTTGAAATGCCCAAGACTCATGTTGAACTCCCTGTTTCGAGTATGGACGTGCAACGTGCTTACGAGCAAATCATCTTGCTACGTCAAGCATGACTTTATCCAAGAAAAATATTGGGCTGCACTCTGCTATGCATTACCAAATATTGCCTTCACGTCACTTTAATTGCAAAACCAGTTTTCTTCGTGTCGATAAAATATGCTTTGTGATGATAATAAAATATGCTAATAATAAAATATGCTATAAATAATAAAATATGCTAATGCTTTGTGATGCATTACGAACTCAGAACTTTAGGCGTTATGATGCATCAGGGGTTACGATACATTGGAGGTTATGACACATTTGTGGTTGTGATACATTAGGAGTTTCGAAAGCTACGTGACATGAGACATTGGTGAATACGAACATTATGTGTTGCGATAATCCCCCAACACTGGGCCTCCGCCGCGCGCAATAACCCTTTGTTCGTACCTCGCCAGTTCAGTTGGCAACCTTTTGCCTTCATAATTTGTTATTTTCGCATTGTCATAAGCGGACTGAAAAAGAGCTCATTAACCATACGGTTGTGAATGGGAAAATGTTGACACATACCCTCCTTTCAACTCATCAAAAGATGCAACTTATGCAATGTTTACCTACCATTCGCAGTAGCGTCCCCAGGCTGCCTTGCTTGTACCCCCCCCCCCCCCCCCCCTAACTCTGTGACACTGCCATCGCTACACGACTCTGTGGAGATGACGTGAATATCCCTTTGTTTACCTAACTCGATTTTTGCTTGTTTATGCTTATCTTACAGCAATGAGAGTTTAGCTCAAGTTTGCCGGAAACCGGGGACTCCCCCTTTGACATCCGAACACTTTTGTATACTTGTATGACAAAATACCGTCAAATGATACATGCTCTCATCACATGACATGCTTGGGAACCATGGCTTTTGTTTCAGCAATATTACATCCCTCACACATGTCACAATTGAGTTCGCTTTCAAGTATCGCGATAACAGTCACGAATGCCTAGTTTGGAACAAGCATGCGGTATTTTTTAACACAAAAACACATTTTATTTCTTTTTGTGACACAAGATCATTGCTTCCAATTCCTGCATTGAACACAATAGCATTATAAAGATCCAAAAGGTCGAAATTGGTTACCTGGTCGTATTTTTTATATATAATTTATTATATTTAATTATATAATTTAATTGTATAATTTGGTCGTACTGTCATAGTTTTGAAAATCACGTGAAGAGAAATTGGGAAATAGCCAAAAAGTGCATTCGTGCTTCTGGAAAAATATCGTTTCCAACCCAGGTCGAAACCTTCTGGGGTAAGAACATTAATGAGCTTCATTAAGTCACTAAAACGGACGGAACAAAGTACCAGGGTATCCAGTCTTGATGCATGATGTAGATACGACGACGTTCAAGCTTGAAATTCATTAACTCTGTCTTGTTGAGGTTCTCAAACCAGGCTCGATATCCTGCATATCCCACTCACGCTGCACTCAAAATAGTGTGGGGCTCTGTTACAAAACAGATATTATTAATTCTATCACATCGATTGTTTTTGTAACATATTCGGTGAACACGCCCGCAAAAACTTCATTAGACGGGGGAAAAGCTCTGCAGGAAACATGACATCATTTTGACGTTTACATCCTTTGTTTTAAAATATCCGTGTCCTTTGTCAAATGTAACTATCCCATTCATTTTCACATCCTGCCCCAGGGACGAAGCTGACAATCTTCTGATCTCAACCGGTTTGTGTAACAAAAGACAAGTTGTAACAACCCGAAATTATTGATGCCTGCACGATCAGGCCATGACGGACGTGGAATGTGGCTAGTAAACTACACACAGTACATTTGTCTTAACCGTGGATTTGGTTTGACACTCCCTAATGTGCTCTGACTGCCGACGTTTGAAATCAATCCCAAGAAAAAAATGCCTGAAGGACGAGAAGCTTCGTGCTTTATACATGAGGGTGTAAGAACGCCTGCATACGACTCATCCATTTGTCTCTGTGATTATCTTTATCCCTTCTTTCCAAATGACGCGTAGGTCCTGTTTCGCTGCGACGCTCGTAGCCAATGCCTAGACCTAGATATCTCGTGTTCCTGAGCTTTTTCACGATGGAAGGGTGGAAAGGAAATTTCACGATGGGAAGGAAATTGCACGCTTCCCTCCAACGATGACCAAATGTGAAAAATAAATAGTGGTGATATTGCAAAGTTGCAGATATGCGTCAACTGATTCATCCTACATCCTGCATGACAGCGTTTTGAAAATATCGGCCCGCCGCCTAAATAATTGTGCTGCTGGCAGTGGCACGCATGATTGGTAGTACAGGTTTATAATGTATATTTATAAGCACGGTAAAAGGAATAAAGAGCACAAGCGTGGCTACAAAACCGTTACTGGCCGGGCCGAGCATGACCAGCCCACTGGAGCCACACCATTTCTGGTTAGTTACCCTTAACACACGTTCAGCCTACCCCCCCCCCCCCCCCCCGCCTCCCCTCCACCTCGTAATTACGACTGACTCGTTCATACACCCAAATTTTCAGATCGCCGCCAGTCTGCCGTATCTCGATGGAGAATGATCCTCGATTGCAAAGAGCACAAGGTCACCGGCGTCGGTGATAAAAAAACATGCCAAACTTGTGTGGAGCGACATTTTTGCTTTCTTTTGAGCCTACCCTCTCCCACTTCCAATGCCTCGTAACTGCGAATGAATTGTCCATACACCGAAATATTCATATACCTACAAGTTTACCGTGTCTCGATGGATAATAATCCTCGATCGCTCAGAGCACAGGGTCAACAACGGCGGTGATACAAGAACATGCCGAACCTTTGTGAAAGGACACATCATGCTGGTTCATCGTGTCTCAAATTATTTAACACCTACATTGATGGCACTGCAATCCAGTTGGCAAGATGGCTAAATACATATTGCATATTGTTTGCACCGGGCTTACAAGGCATGCATTTTCTCACTCAACCTTTTATATGTAACCTATTTAATGTTTTCTTGTTCCTGTGAGCTGCTGTCTCCTTGTGTTTGATAGTCATGCAGTGCTGCAGCTGAGGCACCGACGCTCCATTAAACTATGCGTAGCGTACTGACTCATTTCACTTCAAGGCTGAACAGCAGTGCATTTCATGTTTAGGTGAAGCTGCTGGCTTTGGCTTGAGTTCTTAATCCTGAGAGCACATTACAACTGTTCCTTTATTAACCCAGCATGAACCTGTGAACTTAGATAGCGCATACCACAAAGCCATTGCTACACTGTCAGTGTGAAACACCACACAGCCTTGTGCATACCCATACCATCCATACTGTTGTAGCAAGCTTATATCAGCAGATGACGTTTTCTCAAAGTTTCTCTAATTGCCGTATTTCTGGCCGCGGCTGGAGCCGTAACCCTGACCTCCGGTCGGGCCACGTCCCCTCTTGACGTTGCTGCGACCCTCCTCCTCGCCGTAGGCGTTGAAGAACTTGGCCTCACCCTCGTACTCGACGTCGGCCTACAAAGCCAGAGTCTCCCTCAACCGAGTAGGAGACGGTCTGGAGCCGGCCGTCGGGCAGCACGACGCTGTACTGGCCCTGCACCTCCTCACCGTTGGACTCCTCGGCCGCGCCAAAGTCATTGCCACGCACATCCAGCACGTCGTAGCTGAACGAGTAGGGCGTAGGAGGCCCGGTCTGTCCGTAGCCTCCGTTGGCCTGCTGGCTGTAGCCTCCATTGGACTGCTGACTATAGCCTCCGTTGGAATGAGAATAATCCGCTTGCTCCAGGGTTGACTGGAACGGCTCTCTGCGCGACTTGAGACCATATCCCGATGAGGATGATGACGATCCGTGTTGGGACCTGGCACCAGACTGGGATCCGTACTGAGACTGGGCACCGGACTGGGCACCGTACTGGGACTGGGCGCCAGAGGGTGCACGGTACTGGGACTGGGCGCCAGAGGGAGCACCGTGCCGGGACTGGGCACCAGACTGGGCACCGTACTGGGACTGGGCGCCAGAGGGAGCACCGTACTGGGACTGGGCGCCAGAGCTTCGCCTGTCCGCGGCGGCCAGAACGGCCAGAGCGGCTACAACAAGAAGCTTCATGATCGCTGACTGGATCGGTCAGATCGACTGATGCCTGGTCACGCAGCAGCGCTGTTATATAGTACCACCGGCGGATACAGCCGGGTCCCAGCCGGGGTCAGCTCACGCCGTATAAGCGCGAGGCACCTTTATCAAGGACACCCAAATCACGCGCCGCGTGATGTGAGTGTACTTGATAGAGATGCCTCAGGCCATCCGTTATTGAAACACGCTTCATATCACAACCCAGATATGCGCGGTCGTGTCACATAGAATTGTCCTGCATGAAACGATTAGCGCGGCGTGTTGATACAGACTCGGTCGTTTGGAATATTCTGGGGCAATCCTCTGGTCGTGATCGGGGTGGTCTGGTGGCGGTTACGTCACGGTGGAGGGCGTCACCTGGTCGCTACCTAGCCTCGGGTAAGTATACGCTCCTCTCTGTTATACCCATTCAATCAAGCACTCGGAATGCTCTGGTTGGTTCGAAGTTGCTTGCAATCAGGATCGAAATACTTCGTCATGATGCTCAAATCGTAAGAACGGAGCAATGCCATTGTCAATACCATAATACTACGTTTAGGATTGCAGGCAGTCTTTTTGGGTTGAATACTCCTCACTATTCTGAATGACGCACGCTTAACCTATTATACGCTAGTATGCAATACACAATGCAAACTTGAACCTACGACCTGACGCTACGGTTACGGCATCGTCGCGTAAGCTATATTTTTATCTTGACGCGCAAGGTCTCCAACAGTGGGCAAATGACTTAGCCAACAGTTATCCAAGCATATGAGTGCTTAGCAGTGAAGCACTGCATAAAAAAGTCCTGCAACCTGTGGTTAGGCATGTAGTAAGATACGCTCCTGCCAATATCCTCCATTATTAAAATGTCCGCACACAATGCAAAACTTATAAGCTGAGAAACTCTTTGGTGCCGCTTTCTAATTAACATAGATGAGGCTTCTTAAACACATGTTTGAGAAGTGGATGGTGTAATGGCGTAGTGGGTTAGACTTGTTTTGTACGATGTGACATTTTTTCGTACAAATAAGCTTTTTTTGCACGTTTTACCCAAGAGTTGGGCAAAACGTGCGATAAAACCACCGCCTGTAATGGCACATAAGTTTTGTTACTTCCTGCACCCCATCGTTAAGGCTGGAACTGAAGCGCAGCTGTTTTCCTCGCATTCTCTGACTGAATCTCCGGTTTGTTGAAATATTTCAGGACCATCTTTTGCCTGAAAATTTCCAAAAGGCGTCTGGCTCACCTCATTTTACCTTTTACCTTGAAATATTTCAGGATCACTTTTCGCCTGAAAATTTCCGAAAGGTGTCTGGCTCACCTCATTTTACCTTATTGTTGTTGTCTTTACCTTATCCTTATCCCTTTACCTTATTGTTGTTATTCATGTTGCTTCATGAATGGTCTGACGAGATTAGCTTTGGAAAGATGTAATTAACATTGGCTTAAATGCGGATTGGCAAAATTATCTTTGATAACGGTGCGGATCCCAACAACGGGCGTGTGTGATAAAAGAGCGTTGTGGCCGAAAAAAAGACGCGTCGATGCTGCTGACTGTCTGCTGAGCAGAATAGAGAGCAGGAACAGGGGCAGAACGCCGAACGCAGGCGCTGAGCCGCTCGCGACGCTGCTCTGTTTATAGGGAGTGTTGGAAGAAGAAAGGGCGTGGGGGATTCCAAAACGACAAAAGCGAAGAAAAATGGATCATTTCAAAGCGCTGAGGATAGTCAACACTGAGACCAAAAGAGCGGGATTCGGCGAGATTTTGGAAATCATGGCTCTTATGACTGTGCAGTGAAGAGGTCGGAAGTCGAAGAAGTCGGACGAAGTGCTCCAAATGTCGAGAAACCGATAACATGTACTTTCAGTCCCGCTGGAAAACGTCATACACTGAACACAGTTCCCCAAGGCAAACCTCTTTTGCACTCTATTCTTGGTGCCATCAAGTTGTCGGACTGTGACACAGCCGTCCTTGCCCGGACACATCAGGCTGACCACTCGACCCGACTCGACCTACCGACTCGTAAAACAGCTTTACCTTCTCCTTATCTGCTCGAAAACTTTCAGGCCTTTCGCTCTAGAGATCTCGGGCAAGAAACCATGTGAAACTTAAGTTGGCGGCTCTTCCTGACCATCTACATGGTCGTTTTGAAAAAAATCGTCTGACCGGTTCTGCGACAAATGCGAAAAAACAAGGATGAAGAGCTGTCTTCTGCAGTCGGTGTTGTTATGAAAGTCGGCCTTTGGCTGCTCCATCACCTGACATCATCTAAAAGGCAGCAAATATACAATTATTAGTACATAGACCAACCCAAAACCCCCCAGTCGCTAGAAAAATCGACATCGATTCACAGAAATTGAACTGAAATTGGAGGACAAATTGACGTATGAAAGCATTTAGTAGTATCTACCTCACCATATCGCCACCTTCAGGCATTCTTTGTTTCTTCGCTAGCTTGCCTCCTGGTATTGGAATTTGTGCGTATAACGAGGTTTCCAATTTGCGCTTTTGCGGTCCTGGTGTCCTTTTTAACTTTTCGGCTCCCTTAGACCGCCTCTGTGCTTCGGTAAGGACTTCTGGGGATACAAAGATAATTGAGTGTAGGTATAGACCCATGAGAGTGTTCTGACCATGCAAGAATGGGCGTTTCGAGATAGTACTCACATACGTTAGTGATTACTATCTTGAAAGGCTCAAAACGCAAGTTTAACTCACTGCTTTGAGTATGAACCTACAACGTGCTTACGAGCATATGATCTTGCTACGTCAAGCATGACTTTATCCAAAAGAGATATCGGGCTGCACTCTGCTGAGCATTACCAAATGTTGCCGTCACGGTGCTTTAACTACAAAACCAGCTTTTATTTACATAGATAAGATATGACATTAGGCTACGTGAATTGTTGATAGCATAGCACCGTGCAAAAAATGACACGTTGTTATTCGCTAGGCTTTGTGATGCATTAGGAGCTACGAACATGGGGCGATATAATACATGAGGTTTTATACATTGGAGGTTATGGCACACTGGCGGTTGTGTATATTATGTTTTTCGAACATTAAATGTGATGAGGCATTGGTGGGTACGAATATTAGGTGTTGCGACTATCCCCCGACGCTGAGCCTCGGCCGTGCGGGTTTGGTTCTGCTCCGCCAAGTAGGATGGCATTGCTTTGCCTTCATAGCATTTGGTTTTCGCGGTGTAAGAAATGGGCTGAAAAAACAGCTCATTGACCAGTCGTTTTGACCCATTCTATCCCAACACTTTTGTACACCTGTATGACAAAAATACGACCAAGTGACACATCTTCTCACCTAGTGCCATGCTTGACAATGACTTTTGTTTCAACAATGTTACATCCCTCACACATATCACAACTGAGTAGGCTTTGAACTATCACGACAGCACCCACGAATGCTTAGTTTGGTAACGAATATACAGCACTAGTTTTTAAAGAACGTTTTTAGTTTCTTCCTGGGATAAGAAAATCAGTGCATCTTATTTTTGCATTCAACAAAACAACGTTGTAAATATCCAAAAGGTCGAATTAGGTCACGTAACTTTTGGTAACGCTGCCATAGTTTTTAAAAATTGCGTGAAAAAAATTGGAAACAGCAAAAAAGTGCATTGTCGCATTGCAAGTCCAGCGGGACATAGTTTTGTACGCTCAAAATAATTATTGATTGCTCTATAGGCTCAAAAATGTGTCTTTGTACGCTCACCTCTTAAAAGTGCTCCGGGCTCTAGGTCTTCGACCATTATGCTGATCAACATTTCAATGTTGGATTCCAGGCATGTCAGCCCCTGAAAAAAATTGTCTTCAAAATATAAATATCCAGCGCTATGTCTCTGTCGATTTGTCGTATAATGCCATCCTACATAAATTAGGTGGATGAAAGTCTGCCCAAGCCGTTTGTGATAACCCACAACTAGGTTGTTGGCTCACTTAAACGTCAAAAGAAGGGCGCAGATCGTCAGTCTTGTTTGCAGAGGTCTGTGAAATGTTTTTTTTTTCTCGATGAAAGGCTAAACCTCCGTCGATGCCGTATCGTTTCATGGCGTCGAAGTCATCATAGAAAGAAAATATATTTGCCCGATTAACACGCGCTCGGGTGGGGTTCAAATTGACCCCCCTAGATGTGTTTCCAGAGTGGTTTCCGACCGGCGGGGCGTAACCGCGACAAATTTTGCATAGCCGTCGAAAATTGAATAGCGGATTGTTTGGGATCAAAAATTTAGATTTGCCTTGTAAGGTCACTGATTTTTGGCAGGTCAAAGTTAGACCATCGTTTCAGCGAAGGCAATTTCTAGGGAATCCTTCAATCTGATCCAACAACGGAGTGTTAGATGACGCCATCCATCTCTCAAATGCTTTCTTAGGCAACACAACAGCTGCATGAGGAAATTACATTGACCTAAGGTCAGGTATAAAGGTCACACCAAAGTCCAAACCAACCTGTTTTGTTGCTCTAGGGCTTGCTGTAAGGGATAGTTTCTGGTGATCATTTTGAATTTTTTGATGACAAGAACCGCATTATACATCATCCATGGACTTCTTAGAGGTCAGAATAGGTCATTGACCTAAAATAACCCAGGTCAAAACCTTGTTTTATGAATATACTGCCTAGCGTAATCTTTATCGATTAGTGAAATGCAAAACTCAAAGCAGTCTTGCATGATTTTGGTCACCTTGACCTCCAAAACGTCAAACAAGGTCACTGACCTGAAGTGAGCGTGTGACATTTCGCTTAGAAACGGTTGTCTAGGTTCTGGGGGCACTTCGGAGACCAACCTGAAATTTGACCTTGTTTGACCTTATTTGACCTGAAGGTCATGACCTAGGAACCTGAAACTTGGACCTAAGTGAGCTCACGTACAGGCCAACACACCTTGCAAATTTGGTGTCCAGCTTTCTTAGTTCCCGAGATCTCAGGAGGGATCAAATTAATCCCCCACCCGAGCGAAGGGTATCTAGCCGGCCACCCGGGCGCGTGTTAACGCACACAATGCGCATATAAGTACACACAAGTTAAGAAATTGTTAACGCTAAGTTGTTGAGGTCCTCAAACCAGGTTCGATATCCTGCATATCCCACTGACGCTGCACGGAAACTGATGTGAGGCTCTGTCACAAAACATATATAATTAATTATATCACATTGACTGTTTTCGTAACATATATAACGTAAACAGCTGGGGCATCTTCATTAGGCGATCGAAGAAGATAGTTCTGTAGGATACATGACACCATTTTGGCGTTTGCATCTTTGCTTTAAAGGCTCCGTTGCCTTTGTCAAACGTAATTGTCCCATTCGTTTGAGCGCGTTGCCCCAAGGGCGAAGCTGACATGTTTGTGATCTCAAACAATTTGTGTAATAAAAGACCAGTTGGAACGTCCCGAAATTGTTGATTCCTGCACGGTCAGGCCATTATATGCGTCGAATGTGGCTAGTAAATTGCACACGGTACATTTATCTACACCGTGGATTTCGTTTGACACACCCTAATGTGCTCTGATTGCTGACGTTTGAAATCAATCCTAAGAAAAATGCCTGCTTGCGAGAACCTTCATGCTTTATACATGAGGGTGTATGAGCGCCTGCATATGACTCATTTCTTTGTCTTTGTGGTTATCTGTATCCTCCCTGTCCCAATGATGTGTAAGTCTTATTTCACTGCGAGGCTCGTCGCCAATGTCTGGACCTGGATATCTCGTGTTCCAGAGCTTTTTCCACAATTGAAAGGTTGTACGCTTCGCTCCAATAAAAATCAGATGTTAAGAAGAAATAGCGTTAATGTTGTAACATTGCAGATGTGCGTCAACTGATCCATCCTACAGCCTGCATGACAGCGTTTTAACAATATGGGCCCGGCACCTACATAAGGGTGCTGCTCGTTGTGGCAAGTTTGAGTGGCAAGCTCGATTGGTGGTACAGGTATATAAAACCGGTAAAAGGAATAAAGAGCCCAAACGTGACTAAAAGCCCGTTACTGAGCGGGCTGAGCATGACCAGCCCACTGCACCCATACCATTGCTGGTCAGTCGCCGTCAACACACGTTCAGCCCCCCCCCCCCCTCCCTCCCCTCGTAGTTGCGCATGAATTGTTCAGACACCGAAATATTCATGTAGCCACAAGTCTGCCTTGCCTCGATGGAGAATAACCCTCGATCGCAGAGAGCTTAAGTACACCAGCGTCGGTGATACAAGAACATGCCAAACCTTTGTGAAACTATACGTTATGCTGGCTCATTTCGTTAAACTAGTTCGTACATACGTTGATAGCGCTACATTTCAAATTGTAAGATTTTCAAATGGGTATTGTGTATCGGTTGCACCGGGCTTATGAGAGCAATACATTTTTTACTTAACCTTTTATATCTAACTTGTTTTATGGTTTCCTGTTCCTGTGGGCTGCTGTCTCTTTGCGTCCGATAGTCATGCAGTGCTGCAGCTGAGGCACCGGCGCTCCATTGAACCGTGGATAGCGTGTTGGCTCATTTCACTTCAACGCTGAATAGCAGTGAATTTGATATTCAGGTTAAGCTGCTGGCTCTGGCTTGAGTTCTTATTTCTGAGAGAACACATTACAACTGTTTCTTTATTAACCCAGCATGGACCTGTAAGCGACAATGCATACCACAAGACCATTGCTACAATGGTTAGCGTGAAACTCTACATCACCTTGTGCACACCCATACCATTCATATTGTGTTGTGGCGAGCTTATAGCAGCAGCCTACCTCTGCTAGAAGTTCAACCGCCGTATTTCTGGCCGCGGCTGGAGCCGTAACCCTGACCTCCGGTCGGGCCACGCCCCCTCTTGACGTTGCTGCGACCCTCCTCCTCGCCGTAGGCGTTGAAGAACTTGGCCTCACCCTCGTACTCAAGGTCGGCCACAAAGCCAGAGTCTCCTTCAACCGAGTAGGAGACGGTCTGGAGTCGGCCGTCAGGCAGCACGACGCTGTACTGGCCCTGCACCTCCTCACCGTTGGACTCCTCGGCCGCGCCAAAGTCGTTACCACGGACATCCAGCACGTCGTAGCTGAACGAGTAGGGCGTAGGAGACTCTGTCTGTCCGTAGCCTCCGTTGGACTGCTGACCATAGCCTCCGTTGGACTGCTGGCCATAGCCTCCGTTGGACTGCTGACCATAGCCTCCGTTGGACTGCTGACTGTAACCTCCGTTGGACTGCTGGCCATAGCCTCCGTTGGATTGCTGGCTATAGCCTCCGCTGGACTGCTGGCCATAACCTCCACTGGACTGCTGGCCATAGCCTCCGTTGGATTGCTGGCCATAGCCTCCGTTGGATTGCTGACCATAAGCAGGCTGCAAACTCGACTGGAATGGTTTCCTGCGTGTCTGCAGGCCATAGCCAGACGACGAAGACGACGATCCATACTGGGACTGGGCACCAGAGGGAGCACCGTACTGGGACTGGGCGCCAGAGGGAGCACCGTACTGAGACTGGGTGCCAGAGCTCCGCCTGTCCGCGGCGGCCAGAACGGCCAGAGCGGCTACAACGAGGAGCTTCATGTTTGCTGACTGGCCTGCTGGTGAGAACTGTACCGTCCAGCAGAGTCGCCGTGCTTTTATACGGCCTGGCTGACCACGCGCTCCTATTTGATATTACCTGTTACATCATACCTGCCTGAGATTTAGCGACACCCAGGTCCTCCTTGATTGTACTTCATGCATATCGATCACGTTCATATCGGCAGCGTGCTGTTTCACAACTTGAAAATGCAGCCACCTCAGTGTTGCCGGCGCCAGCTGGCGATAACGGCTGTACGTCTAGACCAAATGTGGCTTCACTCCATGAATGTATAGATAAGTATGGTTTACCTTCACTCCAGATCAATCATCATGAATTCATGTGCCTTCAATAGAGCTTAATAGTCCATGCGACTTTCAATAATTGCAAGGACTAATAACTAGTACATAGGTTTTCTTCCACACCGGCGTAAAAATTGAAACGCATTACGATCTACACACGACGCTCAGAACAGGCCACTTAAGAACATCTTACATTTGTGCACAAATACGTGTGGTAAATGACACCACAATTGCATAGGCGCATAGCAAAACTTACGTAACCACCCATGCCACTTGTCAAAGCCCACGACGAGGAACGAAACGGGCCGGACTAATCCGGCGGATCTTACAGCCAGAGCCAATTCACTGGGTTGTATGTCGATTGACTTGAGACATCTGCTTAATAAACGGATTATGATAAAATTCGTCAAAACGTGTGGTGCTCAAATAGCTAACAGTAAAAGAGAAAAAGCTATCTTTAAAAATCGACTTTTTCTGAAATCAAACAGCTGACAGCGCTGTATGTCTAAATGTTGACGGAATTATCGTCTACAAAACAACAGCGAGCTGCAAAAGAACCATGCAATCTTGCCACCTAATTGGCCTTTGCCATGATATGATGACACGATTACATCAGCACGTGGCGCAAATTTACTTAACCACCCATGTTTTTTTCTTCTCATAACTAACCTCAGCGTACGAGACGGACTGGATTATGCAACGCACACTCACACTCGTGGGTGTGCGTTTCACACTCACACTCACACTCGTCGTGCGCGTTAGCTGCCTGTCGTGACCTGGCCTAACCTTACCTTATGAAAATACGTCTTGCTAAGTAGGTATGGGTACCAGCAGTCGCATGCCTGTCAAATGGAATAGCGAAAAGGACCTGAAGTGTCTGCATAATCGCTTTTCATCTACACACATGAAAACGATATTTCAGATGATACACACAAGTTAATACGCCATTTGACTCAGGTCAGTCAGACGGGGCATGTAAAGCGATGTATGAATAGCCCTTTTTCACAATAGTGGGATTTACATATCCATACTGCAATGGCGTTAAAAGTGCTGGCGTAGGTACATGCAAGCTTACCCCATTGCAGCTTCATTTTTCGAAGAAAGATGGAAATCCTGAGTTCCATGTCGCAAACTTCAGATGTCTTTTATTTCGCCGCTTTTACCGATGGTCTCAGAAGCAATGAGATCACGGATAATTCCCTCTCACTCACCTACGGATTTACACACTTTACATGAAGTTGGTGCCTCCCTACTGTTAGATGGCTCAGTGCCTCTGAAACGTAAGAGACGCCACGTATTCAGTTAAATTAAATTGGGCGCCTGTCTTGCTTTGCCCTTTGTGGAAGAGACTTTTTGTGTGAAGATAAAAGCAGCTGTCTATAAGTATCATCGTAATGCTTGGATAACAAGTCAAAAACGCTGCAGGGCCTCGCAAACCTAGCATGCATGTATGACAAATTCACTTACATATGCTTTAACCTACAGTTTTTCTTCCATATTTTTCGAAATATGCGAGGTCGGTGCGTGAGGTGAGGTCTGGCACTGAGCTCGCTTGAAACGAAATATCAACTTAACTTTATCTCCATTCTCCTGGTTTTTCTTAGAGGAATAGGCCCGTAACTAATGTATTATGTATGGAAATACGATCTTGTTTGGTCGACTTTTTCACAACCTGCATGCCCGTCTGGTAAGTGCATTTGTCATACATGCATGGCAGGTTTGCGAGGTGGTGCAGGGCATTGTATAAGGTGTTTGATATGAGAGAACAGGATGAAATTGTGTCTCTTGGTGATAAATGAAAACGGCACATTTAGTTACGCCCTAGAGAGTATGTTTAAACGCAAAAAGCCTTTTGCCAAGAAGTCAAAAACCACCCCACCGCGAAACGTGCTAAGCAATCCACAAACACAACCTTAACCCGCGCCCGGCCGGGGGGGGGGGGGAGCAACTTCTCTCCCCACAATTTTTTGAGCAGAGCACAAAAACCAATGTTTGCAGCAACATCAAATATTGAGTACGTGTTCATCTTTAGATGTTAGATCGAAGTTAGAATTCTTCATGCAAAGTTGAAACCTAAATCTGCCAAATTCAGTGCACTAGATCGGATAAAAGAGGTCGGCTTCCAAAAAATTGATGCGTATACCATTTTTGTGCGCTATTTGCTATTGCTCAGGTTTCTACATTAATAGATTTTGATAGTGCCCACAGCTCTTTTTCTTATATTTTTCGAAAGACGCGAGGTCACTGCTTCAGATGAGGTAAGTTTTCCTTTTTCATAAATAATACAAATTCGTACATATTTTCAACAATTTTGATATTTTTGTCTGAGGCAAAGAGTACTGACTCACTTTTGCAGCCATCATATGACTGCAGAGGGCGTGATATTGGCCTAGGTCATGGCCTAGGTCATGGCCGATCTCTATGGGTGTCTTTTGCAATACACATGCTGAGCTCATAATAAGCAGTTTCCTTCGGCTCTTTTGGGCGTATAAATGTTATCCCACTAAGATCACATTGTGGTATCTTTGCAATGTATGATAAGATCACATCAGGTCACGCGAGGACGTACAAGACCGCATGAGGTTATCCAAGGTCAATGATCTGTGTAGTCAGTAGCGGAGAGGGTAGATGAACGTTTACGGCGCGTGTTACCGCCTCCAATGTGTCTGTGCAGCTGATGATGTATACTTTCATGCACCAACGTGTGTGTTCTCTGTTTGTTGCAAATACGTAGGCTGTTAAATGCATTTGCGAGGAACATAATGTATATAGATAAGACAGTCGTAAGAGCCTTACTCCTCGTAGAAACACCAGGAAAATGGAGATGGGTGAGTTGATATTTCGGAAAGACGCCTGTATCGAAAGTGCTGATATTCATTTTGTTAAAGGCATATTACCGAAATCTTAATTCATCTATTTTTCCTTTCTCCTGGTTTTTCTACGAGGAAATAAGGCAAGTACTACTGTCTTTTCTATTTATCGTAAAAATATTGCTTAGTTCCGAAGGAACTATGCATAATATATTAAAGAACTATGCGAACTTGACTACCTGTAGATGTACAGCATCCTATTTCTGACCACAGAGGAGCATTCCACTTGTATCTTATATCCGGTATCCTGACATCAGAATGGACTCCCCAAGGTCCTATCGCTTTCTTCTGCGCCCTTAACATCCGTCTTAAAGTATAAACATGCGTTTTAGCATCTTTGTTTTTTCCTGAACAACGTCTGAAAGCTGGAGATCTAAGCAGGGGCAGTCAACGTCCCCCACGGCCGTGTGTGGTCGTGTCAGACCCCCGGCCGGGCACGGGTAAAGCACATGCTAAACAGAAATGCTAACCCTAGAGTATTATGTGTCTTTCATCTGTATAAAGCTAGTGCATTTGATCGCCTGTCATTTCTGGGAAGTCGTTGGATCCAAGTGTAAAGATGCGTGTCATTTCATCCAGTGTGTTTTCAGGAAAAATCAAATATGACCTCTCAACTATGGGTTTATAATGCCACTGGATGGGCAATACCCATGTTAAGTTAATCGCAGGCGTATGCAATCGCAGAAGAATTAGCTGTAACCTAATGGTCACAAACCGAGTTACATAATCAGGTGCATATATCATGAAAAGGTAAATATCCTTCATCAGATCGGTCTCGAATATGGCGTTTCTAATCATCTCAATAAAATATTCCAGCGTAAATGTGTACAGGAATCTTCTAAACTGTACGCATTTAAGTTTGCGTAATTACTTCGGCTGATTAACGGATGCATGACAAATCCCGGTTTAAGGGATTCCCATGGCAGAAAGCACATCGTCGGAAATAAGAAGTGGAACCCCTGGATCTTGCCACTTTATTTATCATCAATCTTGTTCCACAAGAAGACCATCTGGATCATGCAACTTTATTTATTATCAATCTTGTCCCACCCCCCCCCCCCCCCACCGCCCAGTTTGTATGCCGTGTTGCAGCAAACATATATAAAAAACATTTTCTGGAAGTTTCTCTAATTGCCGTATTTCTGGCCGCGGCTGGAGCCGTAACCCTGACCTCCGGTCGGGCCACGTCCCCTCTTGACGTTGCTGCGACCCTCCTCCTCGCCGTAGGCGTTGAGGAACTTGGCCTCACCCTCGTACTCGACGTCGGCCACAAAGCCAGAGTCGCCCTGGACCGAGTAGGAGACGGTCTGGAGCCGGCCGTCGGGCAGCACGACGCTGTACTGGCCCTGCACCTCCTCACCGTTGGACTCCTCGGCCGCGCCAAAGTCATTACCACGGACATCCAGCACGTCGTAGCTGAACGAGTACGGCGAAGGAGGCTCGGTCTGTCCG